TTGGACTCCCTGTGAAAGACCATCACCCTTCCTTCCAAGCTTGTTTATAGTCGAATATACTCTACCTGAAACATTGGAGGTGTCAATATTGGCAAAACCCTCAATACTGAATAAAATTAAATTTCTACGATAAAGAAAGAGATTTTACTTTGCTTTGATGATGTGGTTGAATATTGACATTGAGTGGCAGAATCAGGTAAGTATCTGTTAACTGACTTTTGAAGCTGATCATGTGTTGCAGAGATGATTGGAGTTCCAACAAGAAGCTCATGAAGAATTGAGGTCTGCATTTTTTATGATTAACAAGGTTTTCGTTTTGTGGAAAGGACTAGCAGTAGGTGAAGAGGAACGGTCTGAGCAACTAGATTACTAAGGAAGCTATGCTCACTTGGGTTGATGAGTCCCTTGTATTCCAAAGAGGTCTTTAAAGGGATGAAAATTAGAAAGTGAATCTTGACCCTTTGGTGGGATGACTCAACCTTGGATCATCAACCATGATCTTGGTTGATAGAAAGGCACTGACATGGCAACTTGGACAGTTATTCAAGATAATATTATAACATCATGGATTATTTGGTTGCTTTAGAAAAAGATACTACAGAAAGAACCAATCAACTTTTTTAGAACTTAAAAAATTCTTGAAAGCGTTAGTTTTCAGAGGCTGAGAAAGAAGTTTATATTTCTTCAGCAGCAAGATTCCCTAGTGGTTGATCGCAGTAAGGGTTCGTTGGAGTGCTTTTCAATGGCATATGTGAGGATGCATCACCCGAGCTTTATGAGCTGGCATTTTAACTTTCTGATGCCACACTGCTTTAAATTCTCTTGCATAAGGTAGAAAAAAGTAAAAGGGTTCGTGAAGTTTATCCGTGTGATTATCTAATAGATATGTAATATTGTGCAATCAACAGACTGCTGAAACTAAAAGATCGTCTTCAGGTTCTCTAACTTATCTGAAGGGTGAATAAGGATATTAAATTCGTGACAGTTCACTGCTAAATTGGTGGTGAGACTTCTCAAAGATAGTCTTATCAATCTAAACTGGGATGCGGAATGGAGACTCTAAAAGAGTAAGAATCTTCGGGGTTACATGCACAGTAAGTTAAACAGAATCAACCGCTAATGAAAGTCAAGTGTAAGTTAACGTGTCAAGATACATACATTCTCTAAGAGTAGGCAAGCTGACAGGACATGTTCCTACGTGCTGATGTGGGAGACAACACAATCTCTTGCTTTTCTCAAAAGGATAAGGCCAGAATTCCTTGTACATGGATATGCTTTTATCTTGTTTTGGAATGATTGACTCATCTATGAAGAAAATGAGATCAGGGGCAACTAAAACCATTGTATTTTGCTATTTTGTTTGTAGAAAAGGGTATTGGAGCTAACTGATGCAGAGGTAGTCATTAAGGAAGCCATCAGAGCTCTTTGTTGGGGGCAAACTAAATCATAAAGTGAGCTTGCTGACAGGGCTATGATAAGGGAATAAATAAGAAAAAGAAGACAAGGATAAGGAACATGAAATTGTTTGGGTCATAAATGGAAAGTGATCTCAGGAGGCTATTGACATCATGTGCTAGGAGAACTAGGGGAAGAGTCTTCTACACATTTCAAGGTTTTGTGAAAAAGGAAATTTCCAAATCATTCCCACATCATCCTCATGCCCCACATGTAAAGCCGATGGTAAAAAGTTCATTCTTCATCACTTTCTGTTTGAGTTTTGAAAGGGAAAACACTGTTCTACTATTGGTATAACACACTTGACCTTACCTAAGGGGAATTAGTGTTCTGCTTTGAAATTTTTAAGGGAATGATAAAATTTACTGCTTTGATGTTTTCGTTTATTTGTTGCATTTCTTTATTAATCTCAATTCCTATGCATATGTATTCAAGTGTTACTTTTGCATAATGTCTAGTGGTATGGAAACAGGTGCCAACAAATGGTTTACAGGTATGTTATCAATGTTAATCCTAGACTTTCATCATTTATCAAGGAAGTTAACTTTAATGCCCAAGAAATCCTTTTCTAGAATATATATTTATATTGCAAAATCAAAGATAGGATTTATCGTCTTCAAAAATGATGAATGATATAGTTTTAAAAAGACAAATAGAAAAACTACACTTTTTGTGTGAGTCCCAATAAATGTTTATGGGTTACCAACCAAAGTTTTACCTGCCTACCACAATTCATAACAAGTGGGTTCAACACTGCATTTAACCCAAAATCTTAAATCATTGCATTCATGAGTCCTTCAGTGCTTACTTAATACATTTATAACTAGCCTAATATTTCACTACTCACCCTTGAATTCTCCAAATAAAGTAAAAGATGGTTATATTGACAAAAATTGTTTTTTACAAACTATATTATGTTTTACTGATAAGAATTCATTCAGTAGTGTTTTCTTAATAAGGCATAATGTAATTTGTAAGAGTTTGTACACAAAAATTTTGTAAATATAATCTTTCCTAATAAAATATTAGCAAAATAGCTATTAATGAAAGTTCCCTTAAATTGTTGTTGTAGTATTTGGTTATAGCAGTGATTTCTTTAGGAACAGTTCTTCTGCCTTCAAAAACTTATAGTTTTAGCAAAAGGAGAACAGAGATTGAAGTTGTGGTGATTAGCGTTTCGGATTGTCTTTCCACAATTCAATCACAAAACAAGTCCACACCTGTATCGTTTGGACTAAATGAACTTACACATTTCAGATGCAATCGCACAGTTGGAGCAATCCTCATTCATCTATAAGATGGCTCCAGTGAGATCAATAACTTTAACCAAACTTAAGTTTAATTATTTAAAAATCACTCTACTATAACTAACTGAAATAAAAAAATAAAATAATGAATAGTGGTTAATGAAATCAATTTACTAATTAAATTAGAAGCATTCATTTATCAATGTAATCAATCATAAAACCACTCCCATGAATCCTGAATTGCAAGGAAACACATAACTGAAATCCTTATATGCATGTAACCAAAAAAAAATTCCTTATATGCAACCTTTAATAAAGGAGCAATTATCCATGCTTCTTTTTCACCCTCTTTTAATAATATAATCTATCATACTTCCTGTTAATTAATTAAAATAGACTCAACATTTAAGTAATTATATACAAATTTTATTAAAGAGTTGGATGGTATGAATACAATCTGAAATACAAAGTCTGGTTCTTGAAAACTTTTACATAATAAATCCATAAGTGATTGAGCCTGAAATTTCTATAGTTGGGCAGCAAAAGCTTCCAGAATATCTACACACATTATCTCTTCTGAAGTTGGACTTCCTTGTTCTTCGGATCCTATATCAATTTTTTTCCCTCCTTTTCTATTTATTTTTCCTTCAAACTTGTGTTCTACCATAACCACAATCTCCCTTCATAGAGCTTTAACATAGGGCTGTCCCTGGATGGTAATCTTCTGCAAAAGCAATATGGTCCTTAGCATTGCCAGCCACTGAATACATATGGCATAGATTCTGCAACAAAGCAGGCACCAAATGATGAACTCTTGCATTCACAATGCTTATCCACAATATGCTGGCAGCAAAGTCTGCAGCTCATCTAATATGAACCACATCCATCCACTATCACAGCTCAATATTGGGTGGAAAGCCAAAGTCCCATGAGATGTTTTGACCAACAGGATGCATATGCGATGAAGTGAAGTCTCTCTTGTTTTTGTTTCTGATCATCTCTTGTATCTTGATGTTTATCCTGACACAATTAACCTTGGAGCCCAAACGGTGGATTTTGATACTCATCTAAGCTTGAGAAACTGCCTCCTCAAGATATTTAAAAGTTTTATGATATTTTAAGACACCCATAAACCAGAAATCAAAATTGTCCACTGTGACTATCTCTATGTACTTCTGTCTTGGTTTCTGAACATTTTCACTTTGGTTCACACACTTGATCTTCTTCAGTGGAATGACAACCTGTACATGATATATATACTTTTCAGAACTTTAACAAATCTTGGATTGGGGGAAACTGAGATATATGAAGAGGGTTTATGCATATGATATACTACTTGATGACTTACCTTATAACGGATCCTACACATTTGGCCTTTCTGATTAAAGACTTTCATTGATCTCTCACTGCAGAAGGCAACCTTTTCAGTGGAGATGAAGAGGAGACCTGCTAGAGGGCCAGATGTGGTGGACAGATAGCACTGGGAAACTTTCAGCAGCCTCTCCCCTTCTCTCACATTAAAATATTGCTTAAAGACTTTCTCCACTCCACCCACTTGAAGAATGCGAGCTCCTAAGCTAAACTTCCTCTTAATAGTTTCAGATATATTTGTCCCTAATCTCACTGCAGACATTGAAGGAAGGAGAAAATTAGTTGCAAGTGTCAGAACCACAGTCCTTATCGTGATAGCTTTAATAACTTCTTGACTATACCATTCACCAAAGAGAAGGCATGGTTTTCATAAATAGCAACTCATCAGTGCCATATCACTTGGAAAAAAATATCTTATGTTTTACAAGGATACTCACCATGTTCTTGTACTCCTCCTGAAAGACTATCGGCCTTCTTTCCAAGCCTGTTCATTTTCGAATATACTCTACCTGAAACATTGAACCTCTCAGTACTGGTAAAATCATCAATATTTCTTAATAAAAGTACATACTATACGGTAAAGGAAAAGAGATTTTTACTTTGCTTTGATGTTGTGGTTGAATATTGACATTGAGTGGCAGGATCAGGTAAGTATCTGTTAACTGACTTTTGAAGCTGATCATATGTTGCTGAGAGGATTGGAGTTCCAACAATTAGCTCATGAAGAAGTGAGGTCTGCATTTTTTATGATTAATAAGGTTTCTGTTTTTATTGAAAGGACTAACAGTAGGTGAAGAGGAACGGTTCTGTGCAACTAGATCACTAAGAAAGCTATGCTCATTTGGGTTGGTTAGTCCCTTGTATTCCAAAGAGGTATTTAAAGGGATGCAAACTAGGATGTGAATGGTGACCCTTTGGTGGGATGACTCAACCTTGGATCATCAACCATGATCTTGGTTGATAAAAAGGCACTGACATGGCAACTTGAAGGAAAGTTATTCAAGATAATACTTTAACATCATGGATTGTTTTGTTGCTTTAAGAAAAAGATGGTACTGAAAGATCCAAGTCAGCTTTTTTAAAACTTGAACAATCCCTGAAAGAGCTAGTTTTTAGTGGCTGAGAATGGTTTATATATTTTCTGGAGCAATATTCCATAGTGGTTGGTCGTAGTAGGGAAATAAAACCTATGTGTCAGATAGTATATTACCATTTTGTCACTTAATCCAATATTGGAGAACTGCACTGGTTTGGAAACGGGTAAGGAAATTAAAGCAGAAAAAGTAAAGGATGCATCACCAAAGCTTTATGAGGTGGCATTTTAACTTTCTGATGCCAAACTTGTCTCAATTCTCTTGCCATAAGGTAGGAAAAAGTAAAGAGATGGTGAAGTTTATCCCTTATAACTATCTAATATAGAAACGTAATATTGGCAATCAAGCTCAACCTAAAAGATCGTTTTCACTTTCCCTAACATGGTTGAAGGGTGAATAAGTATCAGAGAAAGATAAAATAAAATTATTAATGGACAAATCACTGCATATAAGATTTCTCGACTTGCAATTGTAGAGATGAGGGATCAATTATACAAACAAGAGGAAGTATTAAGAAGCCATTTAAGTTTTCATGCAGTACACAAAATCCAAATATTTGGTTCTTTATCTTATAATAACATATTCGATAGAACTGGTTAATAAATTGAATCTATCCCATTTGATCTCAATAGCCCGAACCAATTCTTTATCACTATCAGCATTATGGAAACAGTATCTTTTATACAAATAAGAGTAAAATGGACAAGTTAGCTCAATTATTAACATGGGTTAAAGGGGGACTTGGAGGGGGGGAAATCACAGGGATAATTGACATGAAAAAAATCACAGGAGTATTAGTGATAAAGAATAAACCTAAGGGGGTTTATGAGTTTTTTTACTAAAAATTATAAGTCTTACTGATAGGTCGCTGTTGCACATGATCAGACTAGAATATATAGGCCACTTGATTTAAATGCAGAGATAACAGAAGTATCTCTATTTTTCCTCGTTATCTCCTCTTTCTAAAAGACATCACTGCTTCTCATGATTTCTTGTTTGTTCTTGATGAAATATCATCATTTAAGATGAAATATCATCATTTATCATCACTTCCTTCTACCAAACATTGGCAACATGGAATGCTAATATAAGATGGATGGGGATCCAAAAATAAAACCTTAACCAAACACTACCTATCAAGACTTTGGATATACTATCTCCGGATCCTTTATCAACTTCATCAGCTGCTTTGACCCACATGTAGCTCCATATTTGCTTTCCACCAGCAACTACACAAATGATATGTGACTAAGATACAGGACTAAGAACATTACCAAAACGCCATTTCTCATATCTCCATTTGGGTAAAAAAATATTTCCTCATAAAGCTCTTTCTTTTTTAAAAAATATTTCTCAATTTAATATATGTTTGGATGTTTTTTTAATCTACAATATTGTGTTATAAAATAACCAAAATTCAGCATTCAGATAATGTTTTTTGAATACTGTATTTAGACAGAAAATTATTCTAAATTTTTTATAAATTTTTTTTTACTAAAAACAACAACAAATAAAAAGTCAAATTTTCAAATGTCTGTTTGAACTGGCTATTTTTTTGGACTTTGAATGTAACATCAAACATGATTTTTGAATGATGCAAAAGTTAGTAGTTATTGAATCATGATTTTTGAATAATGGTACATATATACGATATGGAGGATAAAAAATTAATTTAAAATATTTTGTTTAAAATTATAATTGTTAGAAGAGTAGAGTTATATTGACAAATTTTTTTTTTACAAACTTATAAATTACACTATGTCTGACCGGTAATACTCTACTCAAGAGTGTATTACCGGTCAGACATAATGTAGTTTGTAAACAAAAAAATTATAAATATAACTTTTCCCTTGTTAGAATTGTATAAATAAATTACAAAATAATAAAAATTATTTTTTAATAAATTATACGATATTCTGTTAAAAATGGTATTTTGATCTATTTATATCATGTCTCGATAATATCTTATTCATTTCAAACACATGATAGGATAACATAATCCTAACAAATTACTAAACTAGTGTACATCAAACAATGACATGATATAAGCTTATCACTCTCCTATCTTTATCCAACTCTCTTATTCTATCTTGTCCACCAAACGAGCCGTGATATATGAGAGTGGATCCTCCCGTGTGAAAAAATGATCATGTGATCATGTTATTTGATCACAACCACTCATTGATGATGAAATAAGATAGAGAAAAATATATAATTTTTAAATGAGTAATTGTAATCAAATAACATAACATGACCACTTTTCTATATGAGAGGATCCACTCCCATGATATATTGATTCCAGGGTAAAACATTAGTATGTTTATTTAGTGGGGAATTGTTTTCTCATCTAACATGAAATAAACTCATTTTTCTACCCTCACATATTGAGTGGTGGGTCCCATTTATACATTTTCTCTCTCCTATATATGTGAGTGTAAAAAAATAAGTTTATCTCATCTTGAATGAGATAAACAATTCTCTTATTTAGTTTGAGTAATAGGAATTATATATTTCTCAAGTTTTGTCAATCTTATCTCTCTACGAGTCGCGTATGTTATTTCCTTTAAAGGAAAATATTTCTGCTTTTATTGTATACAATATTTATATGTCACGTTCACGTAAAAATGAGTGAGTCCCGTTATAAAAAAGAAAAAGAAAAATGAATGGAGTTCAACTCTCTTAGCCTATAAATGTTCAAGATAATGCAATTTTGTTTTCCGATGATTTAATACACATCTCATCTAATATAGTTAGCACTTGGTCCCTGGAAGAGGCACTGAGTACTTCACCGAGAGCCCCTTATTAGCGAAATTTGTTCTGAGAGGGCTTAGATTGAGAAAAGGTGCAGGAATGATGTTATTGGCATCATCTCTACTAGCTGTGGTTGGTAGAATCCCTTCTTCCCAAGCCTACTTTCCACTGTAAATTCCAACAAGGCATTACCTCCATCAAAATAAATGTTTTTCCCTTGTTAGATTCAACCCCTCTAAGGGCCATAGTATTAGTATTATTAGGATGGGATATTAAAAAACATGTTTTCTCAACCATGGCTTTAATGTCATCAATCACATTGAATCCTCTAGCTGAATTATTATTATATGCAGCCGTTTTCTCTCCAATAAAACTGCTCGTATCATCCAACATTATTGATGCATCACAGCCCTGATTGTTGCGTTAAGTGAAGCTAAATTACGTGAAGCAGAGTATTTAAGTAAAGTCAAATTAATGTATATACTCCCCGTTTACAAAGCAGTCATGGAAATGCAATCGAAGCAAGGAAGCTCCTATGCGAGTTTCATTTTTAATGGCTCTGATGACCCCCTTTATTTACTATTGGTAACAGTTCCGGGAAGCTACTAGAGTAGAAGTCTGCATATAATCTTTTTTTGGCATCTGCTTCAGAAAGTGTAGTAGCACTCATAGTTGTCAATAGCAGTTAGCGGCCGACCCCGAAAATGGTATAGCGGTGTAGCGGGTGGTGAAGTATTAATTCCACATATATTATACTAACAGTCAAGAAACAAGGCAATACCGCTTTTAGTATTAATGCTCAAACATAAGAAGTCACACAAAATCAAACACATAATTCTACAATCAATGTCAAATACAAGGAACATAAAGGAAGAATCCAAAATTAAACACAACTGAACAATAAAATTGTCAAATAGCCAAGTACAAGAAGTGAACTAATAACGAAAATCATCATCATCTTCGGATTCTCCATCAAATTCCAACATGGGAGTGTAGCGGGGTAGCGGGTAGAGGTATTGCTGCTACGTTACGCTGCTACCTTCCGCTACGGCCAATGTCGCGTAGCGTCGCGGTTTGTAGCGGCCGACCGCCGCTACCCGCTACGGTAGCGGTTTAGCGGCGCTACGGGCCGCTACTGACAACCTAGGTAGCAGCAACAAGAACAACTAGTAAGAAGCCATTAAGTTTTCATGCAGTACACAAAAACCAAATCTTTGGTTCTTTCTCTTATAATATAACATATTCGATAGAACTGGTTAATTAATTGAATCTATCCCATTTGATCTCAATAGCCCGAACCAAATCTTTATCACTATCGGCATTATGGAAACAGTATCTTTTATACAAATAAGAGTAAAATGGACAAGTTAGCTCAATTATTAACATGGGTTGAAGGGAGACTTGGAGGGGGAAAAATCACAGGGATAATTGGCATGACAAAATCACAGGAGTATTAGTGATAAAGAATAAACCTGAGGGGGTTTATGAGTTTTTTCCTAAAAATTATAAGCCTTACTGATAGGTGGACGTTGCACATGATCAGACTAGAATATATAGGACCCACTTGATTTAATGCAGAGAGATAACTATTTTTCCTCGTTATCTCCTCTTTCTAAAAGACATCACTGCTTCTCAGCCATTTCTTGATGAAATATCATAATTTAAGCACGAAAACAGTCCCTTCGTTTACCTTGTCTTAAAAAGTTAGGCAATCAAAGCTCAACATTTTTTCTTGAATATCAAACGACAAAAGGTAAGATCAAATATCAACCATGCTTTGCAGAACCAAAATTGAATATACATACTATTCTAAGTTGGTTTCTGCGTTACTTTGGAGCAGCTACTAGGTATAATGACCCTAAATGGTAAATCTTAATTAGAGATTTAATTTAAGGATTTAAATGCCATAATTAGATTTAGTGTGTGATTCCGAGTATTTTGACTGTAATCATGACTATGTTATGAACAGTGCGTTCTGCCGGAGAATTTACAGTTTTGTGAATTAACCGGTAGAGCTTAAAAAGAGAAAAA